CAAGAGTTGAAAACCCCAACACTAAGACTTAGACTCTACTTAAGATATCTTCACCTAATACAAAGAAAGCTTTGAGGAAATTTCTCGGAGGATTTCATTTCATGGGCTGTTCATGCCTAACGTTTCGAATCTCACTCGTCCCTTGTCAGATAAGCTTGGAAGGAATGTCCGGGAAGCTCATTTGCATTGGCCGAAATAAATATTGACAATGAAAGCAAACTTGCATGCAAGCTCTAAAGCAATGTCATTCTTTAATCTCTCATCTTTTAAAATGCCGGTGATATCTATAAATTTTCACCCTTTGCCCATCAGGAAACTGATGCAGTCTAAGATATATGTGATAGTATGGTAGCTCAGTGTAATACATAGCAGATGGTATGGTGCTAGATCCATACCTCTGTGGCGTTGCGCAGGCAGGGCAAAATAAGTTATTAAACAGATTGTCCTATTGTAAAAGGTAACGTAATTTCTTTTCGTATATCTGTCCTGGGAAGAGCGAGCACTTAGATTAAGGACGAGCGATATGTGTAGAATGATCAGAGATCCAGATAATCGAGTTGATAAGGGTCGCATAATGGGAAAGAGAGACAGCGTGATGAGCAATTATGGTATATATTTTCAGCGAGCGACCAGCCATATTCGAACAATAGAATGGTTCGTGGAGAGTTTAAGTGGGTTCGGTTCTCGCTATAGCGCAAGGAAGAGGTCGTGACGTGCCAATGCAGGGACACGGGATGCAGGCCAAAGGTATAGACAACAGGGCCACTGGCGGCGTCTGAAGGCTAACAGAAACAGGTCTATACTATTATTATAACGTAGTTGTCAATAAGTTACCGTATACATTTTGGTCATACTAATGTTTTTGCTAGTAGATTGATTTTTACTTACTATACGATTCATGATTCCCATTATCGAGTTTTCTAGTTCCACGTAACGATAGGTAATATCAGTCGCTGCATAGCATAGTATTAAAGTTGATATATATAATATAGGTATAAATTAATTATACCTACACTCTAATATATTATATATATTTTATTTATACTAGTGAGTATGCAATAATTATAGTCGAATTTTATTTTCACTACTTTTATTATATATATATATTAATAATATATTATATATTAATATACATCTTATATTATACTATATCATATATAATTTATATATATATATATTAATATAATATATTAATATATATATATATATTATTATATATCGTAATTTATATAAGTATAGAGTCAAGTGACCGCGCCTTTTTTCATTTATCTTTATTTTTCCCTACTCCTACTTTACCAATACGTGTTAGCGGTAGAGCCCGCTTGACTGGTATGCATAGAAGACTGACGAGAAAGCCCGGGTGCGGCGTGATTAAAAGGCGCGACAGCTTGTGTGTGTATTTAACCCATGGTGTATCATTTTTTATTTGCATTCGTAGATCTCACATTCGCATGGCCTTCTTCATGCGAAGTCGAACGGTTAAGATCTACTGGGGGGGAGTACACGCACACTTAACGAATATTTGAGGAAGGAGGATAATAGGAGAGTTAAGTTTATTGAGTAGGCTCCTCGGCAGAAGGTAAACAGAGGAATTATACAAATACCATCAAAGGTTATTTGAGATACGTGGTAAATACTGGCGAGACCAGCGAGCAGTGTTGCTCGGAAATTTGCGGTCGAAGGAAATTTTCTGAACTTAAACTTAATTGATTTCCATAACCCAATCCTTTACCTTAAAAACTCGTAATTGACCCAACCTCTAGTAACTCAACCACTAACGCTAACCTAACAACACAACATTACCCATAACCACCTAAAACCAAAACTAGACCCCAAACCTAACCAATACTCCCATACCAACTAACTCACCAATCACGCACACACCAACAACACCACACTAACCAACACACACCCATACACCTAACCAACCTACATAACCTAATCTAACCTAACCCAACGACTACATAACATAACCTAATCCATCATTATAGCTAATAACATAACCATAACCCATATTAAAACCCAACGTACCTAACCAAATCTCAATACAAATAACCTAACTCCTAAATACATATTACCTACCTAAAACATAAACTCTAAATACCTATAATCACTAATACCCAATACATATATGACCGCTGATGATGCGTCGTAACGCACCCAACAGCTAAGACTAAAACTCTAACCTTAATTCACTTAACCTTAACAGACTAAGTATCACCAAACAACTCACACCCAACCACTCAACAAACACACACTACAAACACTAACACACACCCCACACCATACAACACATACACCTAACCTAACCCAACCCACATTACCCTAACCATAAACCTAACCCAATACCAACATTTAACATAACAATAACCTCACCTAACACTAACACAACCCAACCCTAACATTATAACATAACTATTTAATCCAAACCGAACCTAACCTAACTCTAACCAAATCATAACCAAACCTTAACCTAACACTTATACCTTTATTCTATACCTAATCCAAACCTATACCTAACCTAGAGCTAGTACTCATAACTAATATATCTACAGTTTAGACCTAACAAAACCTAACCTAACCAAACCTAATCCTTAACCTAACCTAACGACACATAAGCATAACCATGTTAGTGGTACTACTTAGTCTGCTAAGTTAATGTTCTAGTATATTTTCCTCAGTAATGTGGTGCGCGGCTGCTTCATTAGTATTACCATGTTGATTGTTGGGTGTTGATGTATGTGGTTGGTGTGTTAGGTGAGGATATTTATACTATTCATATATCTTAATCATATTTAATTCTATAATATATAATATTCAATATTACTATACTTTAATCTTAATCTATCCTTATTCATTAATCTATTATTTTCATCTCTACTTCTCTCTCTCTCTTCTACTGTTTACTACATGTGTGTATGTGCTTGTATATTATAACTTGTATATCATATATATGTACATTCCTATTATATATATACTATATATATATTTATCTAGATAGATAGATAGGCATAGAGATAGAGCAGAGAGAGAGAGCGATGAGAGAGAGAGCAGATGAAACTGCAGATGAATGAAGATGTAGATAGTAAGTAATATGCATTATCCATTAATTCATAATATGTATATATATAATATATATATATATATATCATATAGGCTTATAATTTATCTATCTAAATATATAGATGTTTGTGTGTGCCTGATGTGTATATGTTGGTGTGTGACACATTCATTATTCATCGCTTGTCCACGGCAATCCCCGGATGCCGGTCAAATGCAGGCCACAGACGACGTCACTCTGCGCGTCCTAAACTCATCCGGAAATATTGTAAGCATTTTGCCCTTGAAGATGCGACGGGGACTGCCAGGTGTCGCGGCTTTTGGATTCTGTTCAGTGATTCTGATATCATAATCATAAATACTGGCAACTATACTGATTCTTAAAATACCAGTAACTATCAAAATGCCAGATACGGAACGGGAATCTGACATTAAAGGATTCATGGTTTTTGAGTTTTAGAAAAAATCACTAAGGAGCAACTGCATTTCTTGCAGGCATATATAAAGACACGGTGATTGAAACTGACCATCAGTCGCTGAACTCGTCTCTCTCTGTAAGAAAAAACCGGAATCAAGATGGCACTCGCACGAACCTTTTGTAAGTAGAAAAAAGAAAACTTCATCGAACAAGCCTTGTATCTTGGGATCATAAAATCGAAAAAAATAATTTGAATTTGTGCATTGTCAAGAATCAAGTAATTCGTTTAGAGTGCAGTGAGAAATTATGGACGATTTATTAACTCTAAACTATTTCAGTCTAAAGTAATACTATATTTTAATACTATACTTCAAGGAACGACACATCTATAAACTAGGGAATTATATAGACTAAGTGTACATAAACAAATCCCACACAAAATGGTTATGTGATCGATGAGTTCGTTAGGTTAGGTTAGAGTTAGTGTATGAGTTAAGGTTAGTTTTGTTCATACGAGTAAGGAATAGGTACCTCAAGCATCTGGACACATGGATAACAATAACATTCCCTGACACCAACATCCACGCCAAAAATGACAACCAATAACAAAACAAAATAAACTAATTATATAGACATAACACCAACAGACTATCCTTACCCATATTTTGATTTCCATCCAAAAAAAAATCTCATCTTCTCATACCCAAGGTCCATACTCATCTGGTGACCTTCCTTGCCCTCTGCTGCGTCGCCCTCGCGAGAGCCAGGCTACAGCGGGGTCAGAGGCCGTCCTTCTATCCCACGGACGAATCCGGCTCAATCCACGAACGCATCCCGAACGGCCCGCCACGAACGGCCACATTTCGCACGGCTTTGTGCCGTCCGGACGCAACGCGCACGGGAACGGTGAGTGGGCGGGTCTCTGGACCTTGATTCAACTGTCAACTTAAAATTGTTTCATATATTGCATTGCATACATATTGATCTATGTATATTACATCTGCACTCATACAATGCACATATCTCTGAGTCTGTCTCCTCTCTACATTAATCAGGACAATATGGTCCTGCCTGCTCTGTTCCCCATCCTCTTCATTCTCTTCTCTGCGTCTACTCACCATATAAAAATATAACGAATAATTATCTTATCTTAATCTGTCCGCAGTCACACGGGAATGCCCAATATATAATATATATCATTACATATACAAAGGAAGAGACATGAGTCCAGTCACACATATATATATACATATATATATATATATATATATATATATATATATTATATATTATATTATAATAATATATATATATAGTATAAAAGGGTAGTGATGAGAGAGGTGGATGGACAGACAGACAGAGAAGGAGAAAAAAGATATATGAGCATAGAGCGAGGACTCAACGACCGCCTCCCTTCCCCGACCTCCGCAATGACCTGGGTGGCGGCGGCTCCGGGAATCCTCGAAGGCGAAGGACGCGGTTCCAGCGCCACTATATAAGCGCCGCGCGAAGCTCACCGGGACACAGTTCCTCGTCCGCTGAGACCAGCCACACCTTCCGCACTTCGGGCCGTTACATGTTATTATTTATTTCTTCACAATGAAGTTCAAAGGTACTTACGTTACACCACTATATATTCGTTCTCTTTAGTTTCTGTGTAAGAAGTGTCGATAAGAAACCAGCTGATACACATATTCATTTTGCATTCTTGACATCACAGGTTTGGTGAGTTTACTGCTGACGGTGGTGTTGGCCGTCAGCGTCCGGGCTGACGAGTGGTCGTGGGGATCTGACGCCTCGCAGGAGCCTCTGGCGACCCCCGCCGACCCCGCGACCCCAACGGACGTCCAGACGGAAGTGGAGTCACGTGATCTGTCGGGTGAGGTGGCCGAGGGCGTCAACGAAGGACGACAAGGCCGCTTCTTGGGCCTCGGGAAGAAGCTGTGCGTCCTCGGCATCGGCCCTGGTGTGAGTAACCAGCGACTTGGCTCCTGACGAGTCCGCTCGGCGGAAGCCTCTTTGTCATAACAAAGCGAATCCTTTTCTGTTGGTATATGTATATATTTTTTTTTTTTACACTAAAGAAATAACGAGAACTCTCTCTCTCTCCTTCAGTGCGACAAGAAGACTTACCCTCCGGCGGTGGAGTCTCACTACGGGCATCCCTCCTCTCCACAAGTCACGTCCAGCTACGCCACCCTCAACCACCAGGCCGCCCACGCCCAGTCCACCGCCACCAAGGGCATCTCCGCCCTTATCAAGGGCTTCTTAGCTCCCCCGAAGCCCCTGAACCCATCTTACTCAGCTCCCAAGCCCTCCTATGGTGCCCCAACCCCTGACTATGCTGCCCCCAAACCGGCCTACGTGGCCCCAGTACCAACCTATGCTGCTCCCAAGCCAGCATATGTTGCCCCTGTGCCCTACGGCCCCCAAACCAACACCCCGTTCCAACCTATGCCGTCCCTAAGCCAGCATATGCTACCCATGTGCCAACCTATGCTGCCCCTAAACCAAAGCCCTCCTATGCTGCTCCTGTGCCCACATATGACGCCCCTACCATAACATATGCTGCTCCTGTGCCAACCTACGCTGTTCCGAAGCCAACATATGCTGCCCCTAAGCCAGCATACACCTCCCACGACCATGCTCACCTCACGCCCACATCGGTCGTGCAGCACATTCACACCCACACCCACCTCCACCAGCTGCCCTCCTCACCCGCCCACCATGCCTCTCCCTCCCTCAAACCCCTCCCTCCCCACTCTGCACCCCCACAACCGCGCCCACGTGTCCCAGGGCCCTCCACCCTCAATTCCAACTTCCAGGACCCACCATCGAGGCCAACACTCCCGCCCACGGCGACCACTGCGTCTGCGTTCCCACCGCCTCCTGCTACGCCCACGACGTCGTGTCCCGCACACTCTCGGACTTCAGTGACCTCATCGACGCCCGTTCTCGCCACACAGACATCCTCTCCAACGCCACCCACGACCGTCTCTACCTCCATCTCCGCTCCGAGGACGACCTCGTCACCGCCTCTCCTGACGACGACGACGTCACTACGACCCTCCCTCTTGAGGACGACTTCACCGACGATGTCCTCGACGTGAATGCCACCCGCGTCAGGAGGGATCTGCTCACGTCCTCTCACCACCACCAGGCCAACGTCACCGACGCCCCTCAGGAGGTGAGTTTCTCCACCCTTCTTGAGCCTTTGCTTGGAGAATCACCTCCACAATTTTCTCTCATTGAGACATGTCATTCCTCTGACAATGATTGTCTCCTCTTCCCCTAAATTATCATTTCTTTCCGTTCTTAAAAAAAAATCCTTTTTCTAAAATATTTCACGTTTCTCTCCTTTCCAGCGCCACAGCTTCGGCTCCTTCCCAAGCGGAAGCAGCTGCGGCTTCGACCAAGTGTGCTGCCGCAACCCCATCAAGCCTCAGTCCCGGCACGTGGCTGCATGCGGACGCAGCCAAGCACAAGGCGTTCTCGGCCGCGTCAAGAACCCTTCGTTCGTGGAGGGCGACACAGAGTTCGGCGAACACCCGTGGCAGGCGGCCATCCTCAGGCAGGAAAAGGGCGAGATCATGTACGTGTGCGGCGCCACGCTCATCGACGACCGCCACCTCCTCACCGCCGCCCACTGCGTCAGTAAGCTGCAGCTGACGGAGCTGAGAGTCCGCCTGGGCGAGTGGGACGTCCGCGCCGACACCGAGTTCTTCCGCCACGTCGAGCTCAGGCCCGCCTCTCTCCTCGTCCACCCGCAGTATTACGCCGGAAACCTGGTCAACGACATCGCCATCCTCACCCTCGAGCACCACGTCGACTTCTCGACCAAGTGAGTCAGCCGCTGGCTTCTTCGCGCGTCCTCTTGGCTTTACATTCGAATGAGTTAAGGTAGTTCGTTTTGAGTGCAACATGACTTACCCTTCCTCCTTCCCATCCGCCCACAGCCCCCACATCTCGCCCGTGTGTCTCCCGGACGCCCACAGCACCTTCGTGGGACACAGGTGTCAGTCCACCGGTTGGGGTAAGGACGCCTTCGGGGGCGACGGAAAGTTCCAGAGCATCCTGAAGGAGGTGGAGCTTCCAGTGCTGTCCCACCACCAGTGCCAGACGGCCCTCAAGCACACGCGTTTGGGTGCCACCTTTAGTCTCCACCAAGGAAATCTTTGCGCAGGAGGCGAGGCAGGTCGCGACACCTGCAAGGTGAGTTCTCTTCTCCTTTTCACCTAATTGTTTCCTTTATTTGCCTGAAAAAAGGTTGTTTGGAGGGAAATTGTCCTTTGCAAATTGGTTTAGTGAAGCCACTCTGTGTGCAGGGCGACGGCGGAGGACCCCTGGTGTGCCGCGGCGACGACGGCGCCTTCCGGTTGGCCGGCCTGGTGTCGTGGGGCGTCGGGTGCGGTCAAGTGGGCGTCCCGGGCGTGTACGTCAAAGTGGCTCATTACTTGGACTGGATCGAGTCCGCTATCCGCTCCTTGTAGCTCCAGTCATCCTCTCCAACTCGTAACCGCTCAAAGCACGTCATCAAGGCTATAATGACGTCATCGTTATTATTACGTCATACTCGTCTCTACGCGAAGAATCCAGTGACGTCATCAGTGTGCTAGGTTCAGGCTGCTGGTCTTCAGTCTGTCTCGTTACAACGTGAATGCTTTATTTGTAATAATAAATTATTGAATTTTATTGATTTACTCGTTTTATTTTTCTAAAACCAGAATGTAACATGAAACATTTTAAACAGTAATTTGACACTCCGTTCGGCCAAACAAAAGTGGCTGTGGATGTTGCTTACAGTGTGCATAAAGTGAATTGAGTGTGTTTTAAGAATGAAGATGATTCTGCCTCATATATGCAAGCACACTTGCAAATCATTAATTGCATATTTTTTGAAATGCAAATAACGATGATCTAGGTCTACAGTCTTGTTGGCCCATTTGCATTGACATGCAAAATCTTTAGATGAAAAATATTCACAAAATGTTTCAGTTGTCTTACAAGAAACAAATATAACAACAGTAATGGAATTCGCACAATAAAAGATATTTATATGTAAACGATGAAATTGTGATTACAATGTAATGAAATTGCAACTGGGACATAGGAAAGGTATCATTCGTGTTAATCATTAACTATATTTGGCGTTATCATCATACTGAAATATTTCCCCCAGTCCACCAGAAGCAGATAAAAAGCGATAATGTTGGGAAAAGAGACTAATGGCTACAGACCAGTAGGAAACGCGGCCAGCTGCATGGATGTTGATACTCGGTATTATACTGAACCGTTGACGTCGGCAACATGCACATGATGCACTGTGGTTTTTTGTGTCACTTTTCACAAATAGGTCTCCACAACCGCTTACTCAGCAAGGTGTCAATTACTAGGCCTACCTGACCATCTTTTTACCGTATTCCTTAAATTTTCGAAGAAAATATTTTTGCACTTTTTTTACTATAATCACAAATATCATAATACTTCTAGGAAGATGCAGAAAATTCAAAATTGTGTCAAATGACTCCAGGAATCCTAAAGGCAGTGAAAATGGGAAACTCTGTTCTCTGGTACACACTTGCTTCCTATTCTTCATAGAATCACGGATGGACACAAGGACGATAATGCTTACCATCCGAACAAATAATGGAAAATGATAAAAAAGAGAGAAAAAAAGAACGACCCAGTAGTGAATGTTACATTTTGCAAGTATATGACTGTTAGGTATGCTAATTGCCATCCATTTCTATATAAAACTGTTCTCCAAGTAGCTCTGCAAAACTATATTATCTTATAGTGTTGTTTTATCTTTTAACCAAATATATTTAAGATCTTCAAAGACGACGGATCCATGATGATCTGATCGTGCAAACAGACGAAAGAAAAAATAATGGGATGAAAAATCTCCCCCCCCCTAATATATATATATATATATATATATATATATATATATATATATATATATATATATATATATATATATATATATATATATATATATATATATATATATAATATATATATATATATATATATATATATATATATATATATATATATATAATATGTATGTATATAAAGTAAAAAAAATAAAACGAGGCCAGACTTTTTTTTAAACCAATACACCTTTATGGAATCTTATACTGTATGTATATATATATATATATATATATATATATATATATATATATATATATATATATATATATATATATACTGTATATATAAATATACTGTATATATATTATATATATATATATAATATATATATATATATATATATATATATATATATATATATATAAACGAGCCCAGACTTTTTTTTTTTTAATCAATACACCTTTATGGAATCTCGAAAAAGCCAAAGACAGAAAGGATGTTGTCCCTTCATGCCCGGATGTTGGAGGATCCGGGACTCCTCTTGGCGAAGGTCACGGTATGAGGAAGGGAGGGAGAGGGAGAGGAAGCGAATGAAAGGGACAATGAGAGAGGGAGAGAAAACGAGGAATGAAAAGAAAGGGAGAAGCAGGCGGCACCCTGTAGAACACGATAGCAGAACACGAGAGGAAGTTGTGGAGAGATTATCTGATTTTTTATACCACCATACAAAATCACGGAGCCCTTCAATCTCGCAAAGAGGAGGACCTAGTGGTCATGTCACACCACATCATAAAAGCTATTAAAAACCAACATTAACAGCGCTTCACCCCTCTCACCCTCCCGCTCTTCTGGCTAGACCACCCCACCCCCCCGTATTATTACTTCTTAGCGCGTGCATCTCGGTCTCATAGTGCCATAGAGACAGGACGATGAGATAGAGTGAGACTAAATACATAGTCACACACTATTCAAGGAAGACTCCACAATAATTTCACTGCATAATGTAGAGAAAATGAAAAGGTCCAGATAGATACTCCCCGACCAGAGTGCGATATGAGATGAGAGATCTGCAATGAAAACGCCAGATGGTCGAATATACGTCGCAGAGAGGAGTAAGAGCCGACTTAAGCCAGTCATAGACCCGTGCGCGCTTCTAACCCATACCCAACCATTACTAACCTCAAAGTACGCACAACCATTCCTAACCAACTAACGACCGAGGACCAGAGTAGACTAGGCATCTATATATCTTATATTACTATTCATCACCCTTATACTATATATAATTTATAATATACTATCTATACTAGTCTATTAGTTACTACTTATCCCCTATGCTTAACTACCATTACTATACTCACATAACATAACCCATATATATATTATACTTAACCATATATCCTACCTATCAGTTATATATATCCTATTACGTCGACCTCCAAGTTGGGGACTACGTAAATTGAAGGTAGGGTTGTTAATGACGACGGCACGCTGTAGAGAGATAGCAGGGAGAGCAGACTGTAATGAACTGCTAATGTAAGAGATTGCAAGGCTGAATAGATGTGAGGTAAGTAGAGAAGGTAGTGACTATATAAGTGACGCGCGTAATACCTTGTGCACTACTAGTAGTAGTAGTGATACAGGACATTGTAGACACTGGCGAAAGGCCTCGAATAAGGTAATAAGTAATAGGCAATAAGTCAGTGGATATTACAGACTGAAATTAAAAGACATATAGGTGATACCAAGTAATGAGTTGAGATAAATTGGTGATGGGATATTACATAAGCATTATATATTATAAGTGAGGAGCTTATGACTCAGGGCAATAAGGTATATATAGATATATATATAGTATATACCTACGTAATATATATAAATATATATATATTCCATATCAACTACCGTATATACTACTGACTCACTACACATGCCGCTCAATATATAAGTGTAATATACCTATATAATATATATATTCACCTACGTATAGTTACTAAATGTATTATGATTAATACGCTAGTATGTATAGTATATATAGTATTAGTTAGTATACTATATGCATCGAGTCGAACTAAAGTGTGATATATATTAACACACATATTATGTGCATATGATATATAAAATACGTACTAACGTTATAATAGTGGCAATATAATATATAATTATATACCTATATATATATATTTTAGTACAATACATATAGTGTTTAATATAAGTATATCTATGTATATATCTATGTGCTCTCTCTGAGCTGATGTGTAGTATATATAATATGATATATTGATATAGTATAGCATATATTATAGGTTGCTAAGCTATATACTAATCATCACCTGTTATATATATGATAGTACATACACACACACAACACACACACCACCACCACACACACACACACACACACACACACACACACTATATACTCATTGAGGCCAATACTATATTATTATAGTATACATGTATATATAATACTAGATAATATATATGCACTCAGTATCAACACCCTATCACTATCAGTAATACATCCTATAATTATTATAGACACTAATATACACACACCCACCACACACACACACACACACACACACACACACACCCACACCCCAACTACATAACAGCCATACAGTATTCATATTACTATAATCATAGTATTAATTATATATATATACAATATACTATTATCTATGTATATGATAATACGTATATGTAATATTCTATACATATATATATTATTTTATATCGTGACATATATTAATATCATATGTACTATGTATAGCCCACATTACTCATATATACTACCTACGTATAGCTACATCCAGTATACTACTCATATGACTAATAACTACATTACTAACCACACACACATATTAGCTCATATATATAGAAAAAAGAACATTACAACTTCCTAACGAACGGACCGAATACTAAGGGGCAGCCAGGAAAAACAGAGAGACAAGTGGATAGAATAGAAGAGAGAGAAAAAAAAGATAAAGAGTAGCATAGAGCGCGAGGAAGCCACACGCGCCGCCTCTCCTTCCACTCCGAGGCCCCTCCTCCTATACGACACACACACCAGCAACCATTCACTAGGAAAAGACAAACAAATATCAGAGACAGTCACTATAACCAATGTAGAAACCAGGAAGATTGTTCACTGAACATGTATATTTCTGGCAACACACAGCACCCTATATAGTATATAGGTGTGAAAATTACCATCGAGTACATGCATATACTTAATATACCTTACTTTGAATTCCCGAGGTTATGATTTACATATATTGGTATGTTTTCATATAACGTTGCTGGTATGATATAATGATTAAAAGATAGTGTGCTGTAATGTGATTTTTGAGTATTCAGAATACATGCAATACCAACGATGCTATAACTGAAGACATTGTACGAAAGACGATACGGAGCACACAACATCAACATAGAGTATTGTCCAATGCATAACTAACTCAGTATCATTAGAGTTTTTATTTATATAATATTATATATATTAATAGCTATATTATATATATATATTATATATAATATTAATATATTATTAATATAATTATACAAGTTATAGTAGGATATGTATTATAATAGAGCGAGAACTCAACGACCGCCATCCCTTCGGCCGATGCGTCGCTGTGTCCGCTAGGTCACATCGCAGTCGTGGGTGGCTGGTGATCTGTACGGCTCCGGGATCTCTCTCGCGAATGTCGTAGAAGGATACGCTGTCCCAGTGCGCCACGTATTATAAGCTCCGGCGCAGCGAAAAGTCACCTTTCACGCGTGGACTAACATTCCTCGTCCGCTGAGACACGCCCACAACCCTTCGGTGCACTTCCAGGCCCGTTTACACAATGCACTCTAACAATACATCTTAACGGCACACCATTTCTTCATGCAATGAAAGTTGCAACACCGGTCAACCTTACCGTGATCCATCACTACCTATGCTAGTTCATCTTACTTAGGTTATATCCGAATCTTCGTGGACAAGTGTCGATAAAAAATAGAGAAAAAAGAACAGCTGTGATGTCCAGACATCTTACTTATATTTCATTCATGAATACTTCTTGTACATCACAGGTTTGGTGTATGAGGTTTAGTGCTACGGGTTGCTGTGTTGCGCCGTCAGCGTCACGGGCTGAGCGAGTAGTACGTGGGGATCTGAGCGCCCTGCGCAGGTAGCCTCTGCCGACCCCGCGCTGACCCGCCGGTTCCCAGCAGCGGACGTCCACGACAGAAGCAGGAGGTCTACGTGCATCTGTCGGATGTGAGAGGTTCCCGAGGCGTCACGACGAAGGCGGACGAGAGCTGCCGCTTCTTGGGCCCTCGGAAGAACCTGTGTCGTCCTGCGTGGCGCCATGCGGTCCCCTGCGTGTGAGGTAACCCAGAGCGACTTGGCTTTCCTGACGGAGATGCCAGCTCGGCGGACACTGGCCTCTTTGTGGTCGATAAGCTCAAAGCGATAGACCTTTCCTGTGGGGTTATATATTTCTGTGTTCTTTTGTTTATCCACGTAATAGAAATAAACGAGAACTCGTCAGCGTCTCTCACCCGTGGACTATTTCAGTGCGACAAGAATGATCTTAGCCCTCCGGCGGTGGGAGTCTCAAACTTACGGGGCGTCGCATCTGCTCTCCAACAAAGTCACGTCCGTCGAGCTACGCCACCCTCAGGACTATCACGAGGCGCGCACCAACGGCTGGTGCAGTGCCACGCCACAAGGGCATCTCCGCATCTTGACATCGGGGAAGGGGGGAGGAGGCGTTACTTCATGCCGCCGTAAGAGGTCTCCCACTTGAACCCATCTTATCTCACGCTCCCATATGCCCTCCATATGGCTGCCCCAACCCTGCACTATGCTGCCCCCCAAACCGGCTATCGTGGGCAGCGCAGTGGCCAAGCTATGCTGGCTGCGTCAAGCCAGCATATGTTGTCCGCCTAGTGTCCCCATCCTCGATGCCCCCACACCCAACATATGTGGACCCTCCGTTCCAACCTATGGCCGGCGTCCCTAAGGCCAGCATAGTGCTACCCATTGTGCCAACCCTATGCGTGCCCCTAGACTACCCAAAGCGCCCTCCTATGCTACTCTGTGCCCAGCGATAATGTGACGCCCTAGGCCCAGGACGATATTCAAGTCCGCCAGTGTGCGCACGGAGTCATTAGTGACGCCTCCATAAGCAGGCATATATAGTGCCCCCTGTGCCCACATAGTGAGACCCGCTAAGCCAAATCACTATGGCTGGCTGCCCTGTTGCAACCCTACGCTGTCCCGAAGCCAACATATGCTGCCCTCTAAGCCAGGCATTACACCTCCACGACCCACTGCTCACCTCACGCCACATCGGTCGTGCAGCACATCCACACCCACACCCACCTCCACCCAGCTGCCCCTCCCAACCCGCCCACTCCTGCCTCTCTTCCCTCAAACCCCTCCCGCCCCACTCTGCCATCCCCACACACCGCCGCCCATGCGGTCCCAGGGGAGCCCTCCACCCTCACCTCCAACTTCCAGGACCCACCATCGAGGCCAACACTCCCGCCCACGGCGACCACTGCGTCTGCGTCCCCACCGCCTCCTGCTACGCCCACGACGTCGTGTCCCGCACACTCTCGGACTTCAGTGACCTCATCGA